ATTTGATGCGACCAAAACGTGCCTACTCGAAATAACGATTTTAGACCCTAGGTCCCTTTGGATCAAATCCGTTTCAGGACGTTTGGGGTCCATTTAGTGATGTCCTTCCTCCCATCCATCCGTCTGTCTGGCTGTTGCGCACGATAACATTCGAAGGGAGTATCCGTTCTGGCCCAAACTTGGTACATTGTAATGTATTTGTCAAACTTAAATCAAGTTCGGAGATGGGTAATATCGGTCCACTTCTTATATAACCTCCCCCACAAAAGGTCAACATTTTCATAGCAAATAATTTACCCCATGGGAAGAGAACGGATAATCTGATTTTGCTCCATCTTCACAAATCCTAATATTTGCATCAGTGTTAGGTCAGGTGCATAAATTTACATTATCGGTCCACTCCAACAATTATCTCCTCCAAATAATAATAATAATTATAACACTTACAAGATTGACTTTAAATTAATCACAATATTTCTGTTTATCCAAGGTCTGCTGTTAAGATAGAATATGTCGGTCCACTACTTTTGGTACCTCCCCCACAAAGGGTCAAAACTTTAAATATTCATGAAGCCCATAAAACACGAAATTAATATCCAATTTCATTCAGACTTGCCACATCTCAATATTTCAATCAACACAAATTCCATTATTAAAATGGTAAAGATCCGACCATTCCTTCTGGTACCTCCCCCACAAATTCTCAAAAATTTTGGATAAAAACAAAATGATAATAAAATCCGAAATAGGCATCCGGTTCTCTTTAAATTACACACATCACAATATTTTTATTAACATAAGGTCTAGTGTGAAGATGGAATACATCGGTTCACTCCTTCTGGTACCTCCCCCACAAAGAGTCAACATTTTGAGTATCCAGCTCACAAAACGCGAAAATAACGTTCGATTCCATTCAGATTTGTTACATCTCAATATTTTCATCAACACAAGATCTGTTACAAAGATGGTGCCATTTCTTGTGGTACCTCCCCCACAAAGATTTCAAAATTTTGAAAAAACAAAACGCTGAAAGAAAGCTTAATAAGCATCTTTAAATTTCACACATCTAAATATTTTGAGTTTTGCCTTGTTAAGGCGAAGATCATATGTTTTATGATTTATGTGTTTGTTTTCTCTTTCGAGACGAGCTTAATGATCTGAAATTTGCAGTGAAAAGGAAAGCCAGATAGACACTATCACACACTCACCACTATGCGACGCGTTTCGCCGTTGGTTAAGCGGCTCATCAGGCATATTTGGTGTGGATGATGGCTTACAAGGGCCGTTACAAGTGGAATTGTTCGTCACTTATCTACAATAAGGACCACTATCAATTAGCGTTTAAATCTCGTGATAATGTCGACAGTCTGTTTAGTAAAACAAAATCTAAAATTAAGAATGAGGATAATTGCAATGTAGTTTATAGGATAACATGTAATGGGGACGACGCTGACGTATGCCAAAAGTCATATGTCGGCACGACAAAGACGAAATTAAAAACTAGACTTTCCGGACATAAATCGGATCAAAAAAGTGACAAGCCTCTCGAACAGAAGACTGCTTTAGCTGCCCATTGCACATTGACAGGACATAAACCCGACCTTAAAACCGTCGACATATTAGCACAAGAAAATAATTACAAAAGACGATTTACATTGGAAATGTTACATATTATAAGTTTACCAAATGACAAACGAATTAATTATAAAACCGATACAGACCATTGTGCTCACATTTACAGAAGAAAAGAAAACTTAGTTTGATAGTGACATTTAAACTCAATAGACGAGCTTTTTACTTTAAAAATGTATGTTATTTATTGTGTTATATATTGTTAAAATCAGTTTGTAATTTGTGTTTTTTGTAAAACAGATCCCTGAAGATGATTTCCGGAGGAAATCGAAATATTGGATGAATAAAAAAGGAAAAATTCAAAAATAAAAACATAGTTTTTTAATGACCTTAAGCCAAGCAATTAACCAAATAAATTAATCGAAATTTATTATATCGCATAAAATTAGATATATATGTTTGATTTTCTTGTAATTTTGCCCATACCAATATTTTTATCTGTATTAGATAAAGTATTAGAATGGAATACCTCGGACCGCTATATCTGTTACATCAGGCATACTTTCACCTTTTCTAAAAATTTGCACATAGGGTAAGTGCACCAGTAGTCGGCACTTTTAGGATTTTCGCGTTTTTAATCGCTCACCATTCTGAGTGGAACTTTTCAATTATTACAAAGTTAATTTATTCAGATTCGAAATTTTGTATTGTTTTTGCAATAACAAATAACGTTTAAATAACTTCTTATTAAATTTCATAAATTTGTTGTTTTATTAAAACAATGTTTTTTTGCCAGTAGTCGGCACCACTTGCCAATTGGCGGTATGGCATGTTCCAACAGTCGGCAAACCAAATTTTTTGTAAGAATAATTAATAATAATAGTAAATTAATTCATTAAAATATAATATTTTTGTTTAGTTAATCTGATTCGACGTCTTTATTGTACTTTTCTTAAGAATATGGATTGTCGAGGACCTACACAGACCAAAATTTCATTTTTATTAGAATAAATCATCTTTTCCTTGCGAAATTGTACACAAAGATAGCTGACAATATATTTGAAGTAAACAAAATACATTTAGTTATAATAGTTTAATTTATTTGGGCTTAAAAACAAAAAGTGCCGACTACTGGGACATGCCGAACTTAGGCACACTCACCCTATATTATATAAAGTATAGTCAGAAGTCCAAATCTGGCACATTGTAATTATATCAGTTTTAGGTCAGATACGAATTGGTCAATATTGGCCAAATGCTTTGGAACTTCTCCCATATAGGATCAACAGTTTGAATATTCATAACTCATGGCTGGGGGTATACTCTGTCGTCAAAACCGACTGATACTATATTACTTGTTTTCTTTTCTTTTGGTAATTCGGTAACATTGATTACTCATACTGACGCGATTTTCCTTTTTATACCCTACACCACAAGGTGGTCAGGGTGTTATGTCTTTGTGCATTTGTTTGTAACAGGAAAAAGGAAACGAGATAGACCCATAGTTCCTTTTGATGATCTGCAAAGAATCACATTCTGAGTCGATTTATGCATGTCCGTCCGTCCGTCTGTCCATGTATTTTTGTAAACAAAGTACAGTTCGCATTTATTGCCCTATCCAGATGAAATTTTGCACAAATCATTTGTTTGGCGCAAGGAAATTGGAGATAATCGGTCAAAATTTAGATATAGCTCTCATATATATCTTCGACCAATTTGCCATTTATTGTGCACGAAAGGTGTAATATCAGTCCGAATAGTATGGAATTTTGCACATACGATCAAATTGGACCTGAAAATAAGTATGCCAAATTTGATCGAAATCGGTTCAGATATAGCTATAGCTCCCATGTTTATTGTTCATTCGATTTGTTATTTTTGTCAAATACAGCTCAGAAATACATTTGCTAAATTTTACCGAGATCGGTTCAGATTTGGATATAGCTCCAATATATAACTTCGTCCGATTTACTTTTGATTGTGCACCAAACGTCTAATATTTACCAAAATTGGATGAAATTTGGCACATACGACCGAATTGAGTCTAGAAGCTAGTACGTCAAATTTGGTGAAAATCGGTTCAGATATAGCTATAGCTCCCATATATACTGTTCATCCGGTTTGTCTTATTTATTACTCACAGCCGTAATATGCATTCCGTAACAGGGTAATATATCAAATACATCTCAGAAATATCTTTGCCAAATTTTGTCAAGATCGGTTCAGATTTGGATATAGCTCCCATATATAAATTTATCCGATTTCAAATTAATTGTGCACCAAATGGGCAATACAATTCCGAATTTTTAATATACAAATGCTGCGGCATATTTAGTCCTTTGAACTTTAAATTATAATTCTAATCAGAGCGTGTATGATTGAATTCGCCCATAAAAACTTTTAATTGTTATGCGCAGCTCTACTAAATTAGCAAAGAGGTGTAGGGTATCATAAAGTCGGTCCCGCCCTACTTTAAGACTATCTTTACTGGTTAGTTTCTCAAGAGGTGCCATTATATAGAAGTATTCTAGGCAGATTAGAATTTTAAACTTTTAAACATTTTTCCGACTAAATCTGCTTTAAATTTAAATTAAATACTCCACAGAACGTAAATAAGATACATTTTATTTTGTTCTCTAATCTAGGGTCAAGCATCAGGTGTAAAATTCAGTATGACATTGATTACTCCAAAAAAATATATGTATTTAGATATCAGTTATATTGTTGACAAGTATAGACTCGACAATATCATTGATTTCATGGCGAAATCCTTCAGCTGTTGCAAATTCAATTGAATGGGTGTATGTATCCGAAAATACAAAGGAAACAATGGCAAAGAATGATAAAAAAGGATACCAGACACACATGCCTTTCGCTCTATTATGACATTTTAATTGGTACTTTATGCAATAGCCATACAGCTAGACATTCAACACACACACACACACACACACGCAAATACACAATAGCCCACACACACACATAGATAGATAGACTGAAATATATATGCCTCTATGAAAATATTGCATATCAGAGTTAAGGGTTGATATGCATTTTACTCGAGGATAATTTATATAATATCGTGTACATATATACTAGCGTATACAGATATCTATGTGCATTTAATATTTCAATGTATTTGTGCGTTGTTACAACCAATACTGTTTGGCAATACTTTCACAGCATATTTGATTTGACACCATGGTAGGGGTGGTGAGTGTGCGCACAAAGCGGGAATATTTCATAATTTGCAATGGTTGGTTGCCACGGGAAACGGAAATGCACACCAATTCACTTGGTCCTGTAACGCTATTGTTATTCGTCGAGGGATTCAATAGATTTCAGATATCATTCGCCACTTGTTGCATACGGACGTTGTTGTGATTGTCGTTACCGTCGCCGAACTCAAATAAACATATTTGAATATTCTGTGTATATTTTACAAAGATAAATGTTAAAATAAAAAATAGCTGGAATACATAAATAATTCAAAAAAACCTGTATTAAAAAATATAAACAAGAATATTAAACAAGAAAATCACAATGTGCATCCTGCCACATGATTTGGAAATATTTTTCAAAGTCAATATAACATAAATTAAAAAAAAAAAATACCTACCGCTTTAAAATAAAACGAAATTAAAAAATAAATATATGTTAAAAATTTGTGAACAAAATTTGGGATTAACATCTTTGGATTTCCTGTCTATAAGTAAAATATAAAAATTATCATCATTTTGGATTTAACATATCAAATATCTGCCATGGAGGACGATACCGATGACAGGGACGATACTAAAAGGTAAGTTGCAAAAATATTATTCTGAGAAATGCAGGGAAAATTATTTTTAATTAAATTCATAACATATGGCATAGCAAATCAATCGTTAAAATTTTAATGTAATGCATTTTTAGCAGGAAATTGAAGAAGGATTTTGATATGTCCAGCAGAATAATGAAGATAAAATGTAACATCTCCAAGACGTAATATACTTTTTTTTAAAGACGTTCCTACCTGATATCAAAATGAAAATTTCATATAAAGGTTAAATAAGATTCATAAAAAGTACCAGTCGATTCTGCTGACAAATGTATACCCTCAGCCAATGTTCGACTGTTTAAATACATGTTGACTTCTTTTATGATTATTCAAATTGTTGACCCCCCTATGCAGTAGGTTTTTAAGGAATGGGCCAATATTGTCCATTTCGTAGCCGGTCTAAATAAATATATAGTCTTCTTCCTTCACTTTATGTGAGACACTAGCTGAACCCGGTGCGCTTCGCTACCCCTTTTGATTTTATATGCACAAAACTAATTTTATGTACGAATATTTGTTGGTTAAAAACAAGTAAAAAAAGCAATAAGTTCGGCCGGGCCGATCTTTAAATACCCCCCACCATTTGGAACAAATTTGAAAATTTTCGAAAAAAATAACATTCGACAAAAATTCTGTTAACATTTTAAAAATAACGAATATAGCCGTTATATTAGGGCCTGTACGACGTGCACCTATTCGCATAACTCTCTCGCCATTGGGCAAAAAATCGTCGATTTAGTCATGTCCGCCCGTCTGTACTAGCAGATTTAAAGTCTATAGGTTCATGTAATTGTATCTTCTGATATTCGGTATTTTGATATTTTGTGTCTCATTTCTCATTTCAATTTTCCTTTTCCCAATGGATTTTAATTGTAAATATTTTGCAAGTTCCTTTCACATGATGGAGGGAGGTAAGTTCGGCCGGAACATGATCGAAATCGTATTTCTACATTTTAAAGCTCTCAGCCTTTTCTCTTTTGTTGCTTCAAATTCAATAAAGAGATTGGCACTGGATATTGGATCTATACAAAGACCTTTACAAAATAATAGTAGCATCTATCAACGAAACGGCTGCAGACATCTTCTTGAAATTATGCACGAGAGTATGTCTTGGTACGTAGGCGTATCATACGGCAGGGTATTTGTAAATTCGTACTATAAGAGTACGAAAAGTTCTAAAATGTACTTAAAAATTGAATGGTACCATTTGGTATTATGTGAACTGATAAAGCATAAAACTTGAAATTTGGTTTTGGAGTAGAAAAACTAAGTAGTACTATATTTGATATTAATTTAGTATTGGGTAAACAAATAGTACTTGAAATCTGAAGTTTGGTATTAGGGTCGCTGTCCATTTGTAGATTGAACAAATGGACGTTGTTTCAAATATGTGTACTGAAAGTACTGAATATTTGATATTGGGTAGAGATAACATTCCAGAATTTTTAATGTAGTTTACTGGTGATATCTGTCTTTGGGATTCGACGGTGGTTTGGAAATATGTCCCACAAATTTACTTTGGGGTCTTTATTGTTATCTGGAATTGAGAAATGGAGGTGATTTTGGAAATGTGTTCATTAATTGAACGAAAAGTACTAAATAGTACCGAATTTGGTATTAGTTGAAGGCATAGAGGCTATGGTTAAAATATGGAGGTGGTATTGGAAATATGTACTATGATTGTACTAAACGGTACTAAATTTTGTAATGACGGAAATTAAAGTGGTGAGTCTTGAAATTAAGGTCTCTTAGAGATATGGAAATTATTTTCAAAATGCGTACTGTTGGTGTCTAGGATGGAGAGATGTAGTTTGTTTTGAATATGTGTATTAAATTTTACCGAATTTGGTATTGGTTGAAGGGATAGAGCAGAAATTCTGGATTTTAATATAGAGATTACTGTGAGATTTAACATATGGAGACGTTGAGATAGTTTTGGATACAACAATTGGATGTGAGTCCATTGTCCAATGATTTTACTAATATCCTCCTCCGTAAATCTCAAGTAAAATATTTTTAAGAGTTTTAGGTGTCAACGGTAAAAATGTTCCTATTTTTCTTTCTGAAAAAGAAAATCATTAGATAATATATGAAACGTAGAAAGTTTGAACATTTAGTACGATTCATGAAGTTTTGATTGAAAAATGTTGTCAAACTGAACAAATTATGAATTTTGAGTACTAAAAAAAAACTACTTGTAACCTTCTTGGGTGGCGCGTGCTGAGTGCGATGGTGCTGAGTCCTGTGGGAATGTCCGAGGTCTGCGGCCAAAATGTTTGCGTGCCCAAGGCTTTAATACGGCCTCTAGAATATTTTCGCGATAATATTCGGCAATTATGATGCCGCTGTTATGGCGGCCCACACCACCGTCATGCTTCAGCTAACCTCTTTGGCAAGTAAACACCATCATTTTGATTGTTTACAAACTGCTAGACAACGAATTTTTTCTCATCGGAGAATACCCAATTCAGCAGTTCACCACATTAGGCCAAGCGAAGCAACTTTTTAGCTCTTTTTCTCTTCGTTTTGTCGTGTAAGTTATTGTACTTTTTGGAATGTCAATGGCTTTACCCGAGCTCATTTTTTCAATATTTGCCGAATGGAATATTGCGATATGTTCAGATCACGAGCCATTTTTCGGTCACTGCGACGCGAGTTTCGATCAAGTTGCTTCTTTACTTTTCGAATAATTTCTGCTGATACTGCTGGTTTCTTCCGTCCACTCCTTAACGTCGGGCTACCAGTATCACGGTAACGAGCGATCGTACGAGACACAAAAGATTTATTCACATTTAAATGCCGGAGTGCTCTAAACATAGTGTTTTTCCAACCAATATATATATATATATATATATATATATATATATATATATATATATATATATATATATATATATATATATATATATATATATATATATATATATATATATATATATATGTATATATATATATATATATATATATATATATATATATATATATATATATATATATATATATATTTGTTTATACCCTACAACACTATGTGTTGGGGGTATTATAAGTTTGATTGGGCCAAAAATTATGTAACACCACGAAATATTGGTTTCCCACATAGGAAAGTATATATGGATCTTCCTATCTCGCCGAGCTGAGGGAATCTAGCTATGTCTGTCCGTCCGTCCGTCTGTCCATGTTAATTTGTAATCAATCTACAGGTCGCAATTATGGCCCGATCTTCACGAAATTTGATCGGATAATATTTAGGGGTCGAAATGGACCAAAAACTGATAAAATTCCTGATTTTGCACTTGCTCTACAGGTCGCAATTATGCACCAATCGACGTGGAAAATAGCATAGGGGTTGGGCTTAAGGCTGGGCAGAAGCCTTCCAATTTTGATGGTCATCGGGTAATATTTAGTGGTTGAAATGACTATGACATTTGTGTCATATAAATGTCAAATCTTCCATTAAACCGCGAATATTTTTAATCCTGGCGAAATCACAAATAGACGAACAGGGCAATTCTGACCGTTACGTAGATGTCGATAGTAAATATGTCGGATACATATAGCGAAATTTATACAATGTGTATAAACAAAGGACATAAACAAAGCTAACATCCCCTGTTAGCTAAAATGTTTATAACTCTAGAATGGCTGACAAATTTTGTCAATTCTGAATGTCCTCCTGGCGTAAGAGAATAAAATCTAAAAAAAATAGCACAAAAAGATTCTAATAATGATATTATTATAGATTTTGTAGTATTTTGTGATTTTTTTTTTTCATATTTTTTATCGCATGCGATTTTTTCAATTTGACTTATAATATTGAGGTGAACATTTTGTAATATTTTTTCACCTTACAACACAGGTTGGGGCTATTATACAAATATTGCAATTATCGTCTGATCCTCACGAAAAAGGGTAGGGTTAGGCCGAGAAAGGCTAGACCTATTGTTTTCAAAGATGTCCGCAATATATTTAGGGGTTAAAATGGACCTAAAACAGAAAAATTTCCTGATTTGGCACTTGCTCTATAGGCCACAATTATGAACCAATCGATGCGAAAATTTACATGGAGTTAGAGTTTTGGAGTGGGCAGAAACCTACAAATTTGGCTAGCCATCGGATAATAATTAGGGGGTAAAATAGACCCTTATTTTATTTAGGAAATTAGCAAAATTTACACTATACCGCGAATATTTTCAATCCCAGCCAAATCACAAATATCTTAAAAGAGCACTTCTGACCATTACAGTGATGCTAATAGCCAAGCAATCGGATATATAGCAAAATAGGTACAATACATATGTAAAAGAATTGATCTTTTTTATTCTGCATATAAATCAAGAACCGCTGGGCCGATAAATAAATAATAAATTCGGAATGGTCTTTTGCCAGAAAACGAAAAAATCTAAGAAAATCGCGGAAAAATATACCAATAAAAAAGTGAATATATTTTGTCCAATTTTTTCAATTTTTGTCATTTTTTTTATCGCATGCGATTTTTTTCAATTTGACTTACAATTTTGAATTGTAAACTTTCTATATTTTTTACACCCCCAACACTACGTTTTGAGGGTATTATATGCATGTCGCAATTATCGTCCGATCCCCACGATATTTTTCATGGGAGTATGGTTAGGGTCAAAATTAAAGCATCTTGTTCTTAAGATGAACATTTAGAGGTGCAAATTGACTAAAAAAATATTTTTTCTAATTTTGTAGTCGCTCTATAGGCCACAATTGAAAACTTATCGACACGTTATTTCGCATCAGAAGAGAGTTAAGAATAGGGACATTATTTTTGTCATTATTTCAAAACTGAAATCTTCCAAAATTGATTTGGACAAAAGTGACTTCGAACATATAGTAGTGTTGTAGGGTATCACATGGTCGGCCCCGCATGACTATAGCCTTTGCTTACAGTTTTTTTTTTCTTTTTTTTTTTTTTTGAACATTCTCACCAAAATGCAATTGTACACTTGTAAAGAATA